ATGACCCAGGATGTCGGCTGGGGCGGAGGCTTAGTTCTCCTTTTCCTAAAACAGATGTTCCTAGGAGGGCTGATCGGAGTTCTTTTTGGCCACGCGATTGTATGGATCACAAACCGGCTGAACCTCGACACCGCAGGTCTATATCCACTTCTAGCAACCGGCATGAGCCTGATGACGTTTGGCTTGGCCTCGTACTTTGGTGGAAGTGGTTTCCTCGCGGTTTACCTCGCGGGGATCATCATTGGCAATAACCGTGTTGTGTTTAAACGAGGAACGTTGCTCTTTCATAATGCCTTGGCATGGTTGGCTCAGATTGCCATGTTTATTGTCCTGGGGCTGCTATGTTTTCCAAGCAGCTTGTTGGCAGTTAGCTGGCAGGCGTTAGGAATTGCGATCGTACTGATGTTCGTCGCGCGACCGCTGGCCGTTGCCGTTTGTCTGTGGCCGTTTGGATTCCAAAAGAAAGAAATGACATTGGCAACGTGGGGTGGCTTGAAAGGGGCCGTCCCGATTACCTTGGCGACATTCCCGGTACTATTCGACATCGTTAATGCCGAGTTGATATTCGATGTCGTCTTCTTCGTCGTGGTACTCTCGGCGCTCATCCAAGGTTGGTCATTGCCGTGGGTGGCCAAAAAGCTTGGCCTAAACCAACCGCTGCCCAGCAGTCCCCCAGTCCAACTGGAAATTCATTCTTTGCGACATGTCGAAGGAGACGTTGTCGACTATACCGTTGCTGGCAACTCGCCAGCCGCAGGCAAGAAAGTCAGCGAGCTTTCGCTACCGGAAGGGGTCACGATTGCATTGATTGCGAGAAACGATGCCTTTATTCCTCCACGAGGCTCCACCATCATCAATCCAGGGGACCACGTCATTGCGGTCATGAAGAGCGGGGCAGGGGAGGGGCTCGACACGCTGTTTGCCTACGACACAATTGCTGAAACATCTTAAGTAGATTTTCAGGAGACAAGCAGAGTCGACATTCGTTAAGCTATCGGATTGTTCGGTTACTGTTCCTCAGCGAGACATCACCGCCAATGGCATACAACGAAGAAATGTCATCTCGCCTGTATCGTTTGCTCCGACCCTACGATGGGCTAACAGGAAAGCCAATGTTTGGTGGTTTTGCGTATCTCTTGCACGGTAATTTATGTTGCGGCGTACGCGACAACCACTTGATTCTACGGGTCGGTCCAGATGCCTATCCCCAGTTACTGAAGTCGCCTGGCATACGCGAGTTTGCTCCAACAGGACGCGTCATGCGCGGATGGATTGTCGTCGATCCCGAAGGCTTCCAACACGAAGATGATCTTCATCGCCTGGTAGATCAAGCCATTGATTTCACAAACTCGTTACCCCCCAAAGATTCTTCAGAGTAGGAATGATTAAACGCACTCTCGGCAACACAGGACTCGAAGTCACGCAACTCGGATACGGCACCATGGGCCTTCGCGGTCCCAACACATGGGGCGTCCGAGTCATCGAGGACGATGCCGCCGACCACTTTCTCAATCGTGTCGTCGATGCTGGAATTAATTTTCTCGACACGGCTCCTGACTATGGGCAAGCCGAAGAACGTATCGGGCGAGCTCTGAGCCATAGACGCGAAGAGTTTTATCTGGCAACGAAGTGTGGATGCGCGTATGTACAACACCCCGATCACATCGAGATCAAGCACGAATGGCAAACGGACGTCATCAAACGCAACTTAGAAACAAGCCTGAAACGACTTAGAACCGACCATGTCGACTTGATGCAGTTCCATGGAGGTGATGCGGAAACCCTTCAAAAAGCAGGCTTGATTGATCAGCTGATTTCCTTCCGCGTGCAGGGCCTCGTTAAACATCTTGGCATTTCAACGAAGATGCCAGACTTGCCTGGCCTGATCGAATTAGGCGTATTCGAGACCTTTCAGATTCCCTACTCCTGTCTCGCTCCAGAGCATCACGACATGATTTCGACTGCCGCGGAATCAGGTGCCGGCATAATTATTCGTGGAGGGATTGCTCATGGCGGTCCCGATGCTGAAATCCAACGTCCTAACTTGAACGACGTTTGGACTGCTGCTTCGCTCGATAGCCTCCTGACCGATGGCATGACACGCGCCGAATTGATACTTCGCTACACGCTTTCCCATCCTCACTGCGACACAACGATCGTCGGTACTTGTAACGAAGCGCATTTGGCAGAGAACATTGCAGCCGCCGAAAAAGGAGCGTTGCCTGACGGTCTGATCGAAGAAATTCGTCGCCGCGTCAATGCGTTATGAATCGAAGTGGATCGCCAACCAAACGGTTTGTCTGTTGTCATCCGTCGACTCAACCCGGTGCTTTTGGCGGGCCGCAATGTTGATATAGTCTCCACGCTTCAAGGAAACTGACTCAACACGTTCCTCAACTTGTATCTGCAACACGGCACTTCCTTGCAAGAGCAGAACAAATTCGTTCTGCGGTTGGTCGTACCAGAAGTCTTTGGGGGATGCGTGCCCATCGGAAAGAATTCGTTCGATCCGAATCCCCTTTCCGTCTGCTAAAGTTTGAAATACTTCTTCCGGCAAGTCCGCTGGTATCTCCGCGAATAAATTTCCTAGGTCCACTGATAGCTCTCTTGTTGCCGGAACCCACTTAGTCGACACGTTCCATCGGCAGCTACGTCGAAAATAGAAAAGCCATTGTTGTCAACGCCTGACCGCTCGATCATCGCCCGCAATGTGCAGTAGTGGATATCGTTTACGGATCGATAATCGTTAGCATGACTGTGCCCCTGGAACACCACGGCAACATTGCCAGCCTGCTCGAGAATCTTGCGAACCTCCGCTGAATTATTTACCGCATGGTTTCCTTCTGTATCGAGCCTTTGGTGCGCGAACACAATCGTCTTCCGATTGTTTTTCTTCAGGTCATCCGCTAACCAATCGAGCTCGGCTTGAGGAATGTTGGCGTCGGTCCACACCGAATTCTTCCGACCATACGCTTTACCATCGGAACGGAAACAAGCGTCGAGCACCACAAAATGACACGGTCCCCGATCAAACGAGTAGTAGGACTTCTCTTGCTCTACCCCGCCTAGGAACTCCTCTTTTGTCAAAGTATCGACGCAATGGTTTCCCAGAACATAATGCCGTTCCGAGCATATCTCGGCAAACGGTTTGGCGATGGTTTTGAGGTATCGTTTTTCGGTCTCAACAGAATCTGCGGCGTCGATAAAGTCGCCTAACTCCACAAGGAAATCAAGCTTTTTATCAGTAAGCGTATGGGCCGCGTCGGCAAGCTTTGTGAGTGTTTCTCGATAATAGCGAGAGCCAACCGGCAGCTTGTCGGCATAGTGCATATCAGTCATCAAACCAATACGCAGTACGGAAGGCTTTTCCTCGGCCGTTACCGCACCGGCGGTGAGTCCTGCCATGAAAAGAGCCCCTCCCTGCATAAAGACACGACGACCGAGGCCACAACTCGGATCACTTGCTGACGACGACATTCTGATTCCCTCGGAAAAACGCAAACCATTCTTTCTGAAAGGTAGTCGAGAGGAGCTAACGTGTGCAAGTGCTTATCAATATACCTAAACGTAAACAGGTATGTTCTTCAAATTAGGACGATAGAACGTTCCACGGCAGTGATTCTGTGGTGCGAAATTTGGGCCGATGTCTGCCAGAAATTCCTGCGCGCCGACGAAAAGGTATCCATTGGGGCTCATTGTCGCAGCGAGTCGTCGAAACAGATCTTGGCGAACTTCTCTCGTAAAGTAG